GCTATTCAAGTAAGATTCCATAATACAGATCTTTCCATAGTAAGTATTTATTGTCCTCCTTATAGTACACCTAGTTTTTGTAAAAATAAATTAGATAATTTAATAAAGCTGATCCCTGAGCCAATGATAGTTGCTGGTGATTTTAATGCCCACAATACCTTGTGGGGGTGCCACTCAACTGATAACCGTGGTAGAGACATTAGTGAAATAGTTGAAAACAATGATTTATTTCTATTAAATGATGGCAGGGCCACAACAGTAGGTTCTGCTAGTTGGAGGCCAAGTGCTATAGATCTCACTATTGTTTCTTCATCCATTGCTCTTGCGTGCAATTGGGAAGTCCATGATGATCCTCTTGGACGTTATCACCTCCCTGTTATGACAGAAATATCACTACAATCACATTCCTATGCAAACTCATCATCTAACGTTCCAATTCATTATAATCTCAAGTTAATAGACTGGAAAAAATATTCAATTTTAGTAAATCAGAAGCTCCAATCTTTTAACATAATGGATAATGTCATTGACTCATATAACAGTTTCTGTGGTGCACTACATGAAGCAGTTGCTGAATCAAGTCCTCAAAGACCCATATCTGGGTCAAACAATAGATTACCTCATAAAAAGCCTAAGTTAACAGTTCCATGGTGGAACATCACATGTAGTGAGGCAGTGAAAGCTTCAAAACAAGCATATATTTTATTTAAATCCAACTCTACACCAGAAAATTATGTAAATTTCAAAAGGTTACAAGCACGTAAAAAAAGGATCCTTAAACTTGAGCAAAAAAAAAGTTGGCAAAGTCTTTGTGAATCTTTTAATAGAAATACTCCCATTAAGTTTATATGGCAATATATGAGAAAATTTAATAGTACTTCTCCTGGTAGCAAAAGCTATTCAGATAAGTGGGTCACCCCCTTTCTAAACAAGTATACCCAAGACAATGATTCAGAAACTTCTCCTTTTGTATTACTAGGACATAAATTAAATGACACCAATAACTTTATTGTAAACCCTTTTTCTTTGCAAGAACTTCAAAGTGGCTTAAAATCTCGTAAAAATACTGCATGTGGACTAGATTGGATATCTTATCGCATGCTTAAGGAGCTAAATGATAGTTCACTTCAAACCTTTTTATATATCCTCAATTCATTATGGATCCACGATGAAATTCCTGATTCTTGGAAAACAGATTGTATAGTCCCTATCTTGAAACCAAACAAGAAACCAGGTTTAGTTGATTCATACCGCCCCATAGTCTTATCTTCATGTGTTGGTAAGATATTTGAACAGTTGCTTAAACAGAGACTAGAGTTCTATATAGAGAAATTGGAATTTTACCTGACAACCAATTTGGATTCAGGAGAGGGAAATCCACTCGGGATAGAATAACTCATCTTCATCTGGATATTCTGAAAGCTTTCTCAGATGACAGAGCACTTCTTTGTGTCTTCTTTGATATAGTTAGTTCTTTTAACAACATTAACCACCAAGTTTTATGTTCGGAACTAAATTCCATTGGATTACCTGCAAAAGTCATAAATTGGATTTTTAATTTCATAAATGGTAGAAAAGTATTTGTTAAATATAATTCTATGCTGTACGGCCCTAAATACTCATTTAAAGGTAGTTGTCAAGGTAGCATTTTAAGTCCTCTTTTTTTCATTTTGTATATAAGAAAGCTTAATATAATCTTAGGAACTAGTGTATATAATTTGCAGTTTGCTGATGATTTAGCTATTTACTGTAGCTCTAACAGTATTCAGGAATCAGTTGATAAATTGAACCACACAATAACAAGACTTAAATCATACTTTGATTCACTACATTTGAAAATTATCCCAGAAAAAAGCAAAGTAGTTGTTTTTAGCAAAAGAAAATGTTCAGTAAATGTAAATATTATATATGATAATTCAATTTTGACTGTTGTAAATAATGTAAAGTTTTTAGGGGTGATATTTAGTAGTAATTTGTCTTTCAAGTCCTATGTTTTAAATATAATTGATTGTGCTAATAGAGCATTTAATATTTTGAGAAGTTTAGCGAAAACTTCATGGGGTTCAGATCCAAAAATATTAAAATTTCTGTATAAATCACTTGTTCGGAGCCATTTCGAATATGGATTTTTATTTTATTCTAATTTAAATCAATGTATAGAAAAATTGGAAAAAATACAAAATAAATGTCTAAGACTTATCATTGGTGCAATGAATACATCACCAATCAATTCATTACAGATTGAATGTAATATTGAACCTCTTAAATTTAGATTTCACTATTTAAGAAAAAAATATATTTTAAAACAATTTTCTGTCTGTAACAACAGACTACTCCCAAAAATATTAGGTTTCACAAACAACATTAATTGTCCATTTATTTCTGAAAATGTAAATACTTTATATAACAATTATTTTAATATTGTAAAAAGATATATGAATTGGCCTTGTTACTGGGGTAACTATGATATTAAATTTAATGACATTCAAGTTGATATTGATAACAAGTTGCAAACTAAGCAAGATGTATATAGAGAGTTGTATAAATGGTTGAGTTATAAAAAAATGTACACAGATGGTTCAAAAACTGCTACATCTACTGGAATTGCTATTTACATCCCTCACAAGAAAACTGGCTTTGGTGTTAAGATAAATGGTACTTAATTCCATTATATGTAATTGAATTTCGGGGTAATTTGTAGGGGGGGTGGAGGGGGGGCTCCCCCCGACCCCCCCGCCATAAAAGATTTTTGGCGGAAATGCAGTTTTTTTTTTACCTAACCTAAAAATTCATTAAATCTGTTAAATGTAGTGGAATTTCAGGGGGATAGGTATTAGGGAAGACCCCTCAGAGGGAAGGGTAAATCGCCCTCCCCCCTTCCTTCGTTTTTTTACAGAAATGATAATTATAAAAAAATTAGAGGGGTTTTAAAGGTAAAACTGTACTTCCAGGGCCTAGAGATGATATTTGATTTTTTTGTAGAAAAAGTCTCTATTAACGAATTTTTCTTTCTGGCGCTTCGCCGGCCGCTGCCGCGGCACGCTCGCTTCGCTCGCTCGGCTCGCGCGTTAAGGTCACAACACTAACCTAACCTAACCTAGTGTGAAGTATCACCACACAAGCGGCTCATTAGAGTCCAAAACTCGCACTACACTCGACTCTTCAGGCGAAGGGCCAGCCAGTGTTGCCAACTCGGATTTTGAAAAAGGCGTAGGCCCGATGAGAAAATTACGTAGATTTAGTAATTTTTGCATATGAAAAGTACGTAGATCTACGTACTTTTTTCTGAGTGACATGAAGAAGTCCGAATGAAACAAGTATTTTGTTATACAATTTCTTTAAAAACGGGAGATGGAACAAAGAGTTCTTGGAGAAATCGCTGCATTGGAAGCATGACCATGTGGTATTATAAAACCATGATTTCTAATAGATCACATGTAAAATAGAGTTAGTTATCATAATACACTTGGTAAAAGACTCTAGAAAGTTGTGGTTAAAATTGCCAAGAGAAATAATACATACACTTGTTGAACACATGTTAAAAACTTACTAACTCTTGTAACTTTATCGACTGAAAGTCATTTCTTTTTGCAAACATCAATTCGATGTAAGTACTCATTGAACAATATTTAAAGTTTAAAAATTCAATTTTTAAGGTTACGAATGTACCTACTAAGTCAAAGAGTTTTGTCGTTTCTCTTTTCACAAATCCTGCGTCCAGCATTAATTTAGTCAATAAAACCAATGACTTTTCTACAAGATACAAGAGTTTTTAGACACATCTTTATAAGAAATAAACATTTTTATAGTTTTTAAGAAAAGTAACGGAAAATATTCTTCTTTATTCTAGTGAATTAAGTTATTTTACAAATTTGAAAAAAATCAAGAAAATACGTAGATTCTGGGACTTAAGTTAGTAGGTTTGCAGGAAAGACCTAAAATACGTAGATCTACGTAAAAAGACGTAGAGTTGGCAACACTGGGGCCAGCAGACCTCGAGGTCGAAGGCTTTGAGGATGCCATGGTAGTCAGACGACGTTAATATCAACAGGAGTACGAAAAAGCTCTGAACTGCGACGAACACAAACACTGACTGGCAGATCTCATTAATGGCGGTAAATTGTCACATTTTGACAACAGTACCAACATAATAAACTTATATTTACCATAGACAACGAGAAACATGTTATTTTTGCATAAAAAAATGGCAGCACTGATCAAAATTGCTGTCAAAATTGACTCATAACCTACAAAAATATTAATTTTCAATAATTTTTTTTTAGAGTTCTATTCGTTTCCGCCTAAAAAGATTTCGTGTACGTGTTTTTAATAGTTAACACTTTGCGACAAAAATTTCAGCTTGCAACTCAATTACATATAATGGAAAGCTGAGCCTCGTCATTGCCTTTTTAAAGATCACCTGTACCGGCTCAAGATGGTCACTGGTCAGCTCACCTGTTTGTAACTTCTGCAACAGATAATCAGTCCCTGGACCATATCTTTTTCTTTTGCGGTTCATTTCAAGTACAGAGAAATTTGCTGCTTCAAGACCTTCGAAGTACTTTTGGCGAAGAAACCATCCCGCGTGACTTGAGAAAACTTTTACAAAATAAAGACACCTACATTCCTTTATACAAATTTGTAAAAGCTACAATCAAAACACTTTAAGAAAGAAAAGTTAACAGACAGGGCTGTATGGATTCAGAATCCTTTGCCCGTCCCAACAGGGACAAATTAACCAAAAAAAATTAAATTGACAGGTGTTGACAGGACAGAAATAAACAGAATAGAATGATTTTTTGTTTTCTAGTTGTTTTCTAAAATAACAAGAGTAAAATTTATATCGGGAGAATGTGTCAAAAATTATGGAAAACCAGAAGTTAGTTTCGTAATAATATTGTGGTAAAATCTTCGGATCACTAAGTTCACAAAAAGTTGTCAGCTCCCGTTACTTCGTTACGGTATTCCACGTCAGTTAAAAATAAGCCGATTGTAATAAAATGCGTCGAGCAAAAGGCTATCAGGATCTCGATAATAATGCCGTGGTGCCCAAAACTGTTCCTCCACCGATGCCACCTCCACAAGAAATAGAAATGGCATCAGTTTCAGTTGTCCCCGATGGTATGTATTTACTAGCATAAAATCCAATATTTTATTATTCTTAGTTCCCATGTATTTAAAACTTAGCATTTACCGATTATTACTTCACACGAACTTGTAAAAATACATGAATTACCTATAAATTGTTATTTTTAGGGTTCCGTACCTCAAAAGAAAAAACAGAACCCTTATTGGATCATTTTGTTGTCCGTCCGTCGGTCCGTCTGTCAAGACCCTTTTTCTCAGGAATGCGTGGAGGTCTCAAGCTGAAATTTATATCAAATACTCAGGTCTGCTGTCCCTTGTAGCTGTAAAAAAACAAATGTCTAAGCCAACGCAATTAAAAGATACAGCTGTTTATGTCGTGAATCTTGGGATCTTGCGAAGGAATCAAAACCTACTGAGTACTTCGTGTGAACTCAGAATCTTGAAATTTGGTCTGATGCAACATCTTATAGCACAGAAAAATGAAAAATTGCGAAAAATGTGAATTTTAGTTATATGACATATATATATTTTTTTAATAATTATTATATGTTTTATGGAAACCTCAGTGCGCGAGTTGCACTTGCACTTGGCCTTTTCTTTATTAGGTAACCACGTAAGAATCCCACAAGAACTCAACATTTTTCCGAGATAAAAAGTATCCTTTGTCTCAATCCAGGTACTAAACTGTATTGCCAAATTTTGTCAAAATCCATTCAACTGTATCTGAGTGATTTGAGTTACAAATGTACAAAATTTTTATTTTATACCTAATAATAAAAGTAAATAAAATAAAAAGACTTTATTTAAGCTACCAGTTTTTAAAACAATGGTTGAAAATTTGAAATTTTTTCTTAAGTGATAAATGTATGTGTCAGTGTCACAAGACCTCTCCCAGCCTCTGCAGGATGTCCAGCCGATGCTCGAATCTTTGGAGAAATGCTGCTTCTAATCTTCGCCACTCAGATCTGTTTAGGGCTATTATGCTCCAGTAAACTCCCGCCGTCTGTTTAAGCTCATCTGCCCATCTGGTTAAAAAAAAATGTTATTATAGTAGAGCACAAATCTTTAAATGTGTAATTTTTATAGTGCATTTTCTAGTAGTTTTTATTAGTAACAATATTGAACAATTCACTTTCAAATTATTTTTCAGACACTTTCACAGTGACTCAGGCTGTGAATGCACTTGGTTTTGGCTGGTTTCAAGTCAAGTTATCATTATGCACTGGATTATGTTGGATGGCTGATTCAATGGAGATGACCATATTAAGTATTCTTTCTCCAGCCTTGCATTGTGAATGGAATATAAGCAAGTTTGTATGGTTGATATTTATAAACACTATCCTATATATATATATATATATATATCTATAAAAATACAGTGTAAACTCTTTATAACGAAACTCAAGGGACTGAGCATTTTTTGTCGTTATAGAGAGTTATCGTTATATGGAGTGAACAAAAAAAACCAAATTAACAAGAATTTTTAATTGTATGTATGAAATAACTTTTTCGTCAACACTAATCGCTTTCCGTTTATTGGCCATGTTAACAGTTTCAAAGTAGGTTTACGACTGATAATACGATAGGTACCCAGTATGCTTGGTCGAAGACCATCACTTCCGAGAAAACAATGCGTCATACTGCACGTGTACAAGGCAATTAAGGATAACAAAAGCTAGACCGACCTCGGATGTTTCGGAGCTTCAAAGTCTTTTGTTACCTGATAACTTAACATAAACAATAATACGGATAATAAATATTTTCTGTCTAAAAATATGAACACATTTCTTCGTAATAGAGAATGGCGTATCGCTATAAAGAGTGTTTCAATATGTGAGTTTTAATGCAAACCAACCAACTTGGGCTCACTCCAACGTTATAGGGAGTTTATCGTTATAAAGGATAACGTTATAAAGAGTTTACACTGTATATCAAATTCTTAAAAAATTAACATATAACATATAGATAGGCAATTAACATATACATGAATGCTTATCATTATAAGAAAAATAAATAGCTTGTATGTACTTTAAATCCTCTGGATTGCTTTTGAAAAAAAACACCAATCTAAGATGTGACCTTAGAACTGCATCCAACTGCAAGTTTTGTTTAAAAAATGTGGCATTCAAGTTTGAACTTAATACACTTCCCTGTGGAACTTTGATACTTAATACAATCCACCTACAAAAACGCACCATAAAACTGAACTTTACAAACAAACCATAGGTACATAACAATGGTTCTAATTACAATGTAAAAATTCAGTACTAAATGGTGTTTTGTTATTATTATATTTGCAGGTATCAACAAGCCCTTACAACAACTGTAGTCTTCATGGGAATGATGCTTAGCTCTACATTTTGGGGTAACATTAGTGACCGGTATGGAAGGAAGACTGTGAGTAAATAACTACCTATAAATATTTAACTAGAATACCCGAGTGCTTTAGCATGCATTGTTTACTTTTCCTTTTAATTTGGGAAAGCAAAGGAAACTGAGTCCTCATATACTTTAGACTATTTCTTTAGTTTTTCATTATCTGAAAAGCATTTGGGGCCGGAAATATATTTCTCTGTGCACTCTTACTCATATATAGATAGTTGAGGATTAAGCATCTTTATTTAATAAAAGCCCAATTTAGTCTTTTTTATTTTATTTTATATAATTTTTTTTTCAGGCTCTCAGTATGTGTGGTGTGCTTTTGTTCTACTATGGTCTACTTAGTGCAATAGCACCAAATTTCCTTTGGTTATTGTTCCTTAGAGGTCTTGTAGGATTTGCTATAGGATGCGTTCCACAATCGTGAGTATGAAAAACATATAATTGTACATAAAAGTAATTTATCATAAATCATGTACCATATTAATTAAGAAATTACATTTTTTTTTTATTTCAGTGTCACATTATATGCAGAATTTCTGCCAACAAAACAACGAGCAAAATGTGTAGTCTTACTTGATGTAAGTGATAATAAACTTTCGACATATTTTATTCCAAACTGTTTAGATTATTTGCAAGTCTGTACCAACTATAATAAAATTTATTATACTTAAACCAAGCCAGTATACTAATAAACCAAACCACTAATAATACTAATAATAAGCACTTTTTAATAATATATTTCTTAATAAATGCTACTTATAATTGTTTGGTGGAGGATGTTAGTTCATGTTATTGAATGATGTCTTTTTGGATTAAAAAAAGACAGTAAAATCCTTAAAAATATATATCAATATTTATGAATTATTTTCATTAATTCGTGTAAGTATTTGACCTCCTATGTGTTTGCTCAAGTTTATTAGATCATAACCACAGCTGTAATCAATAGGGAAGATGACTAACTTTTTCTTCGTCTTTCAGGTAGATTATCAGAAAGTATTGGACATATATTTTTTCTTTATTCACATAATCAAGACATTGCACAGATATATTGATTTGAAATAGTGTTGCCCAAATGCAAGAACAAGACGAGACTTAGCCAGTCTTGGTCTTGCGCTCCCAGTCTTGGTCTTGATCTTGCAGCAACAGTCTTGCTATTTATTAAAGTTTACTTTAGATCTTAGAAAAACGTATTAGAATTGGAACATTGTGAGCTTGAATTAACATAGCCATAGTAAAGACCAATCAGATTAATAATTGTCTGAAGATTTGATAAGAAATTCGAAAAATCAACTGCCACATGGTTATCAACTGAGCTATATGCCGTTTTATATTATTTTATTAGTTTTGTAGATTTTTTAACACGGTTCAAGTATATTTGAGTGGTGGTAATTCAAACGGGTTATATTTGACCACTTTTTTGCTATTTTTTCTTGTAAAAACTTAAGAAATATTTTAACTAAATGTACAATAATAGTACCTAAGCAATTAGTTTAAACCCATATACGTGTTGTACCGTCTCGCTCGCTCATATATCAAATAGTATTAGCGTGAGTGGGACGGCACGACACGAAATTAGAATTTTGCATGAGCATACCTAGGCCCTGTGGCGGCAATCAAATAGTGTCAAATGTTGTGATTTCGGCGCGGCGGCAACGATTGTTGTATGTGATTTCAATAGAAGCCGCCGGCGCGTGTTGATCATCACCATGTACTTCCGAAAAGCGGCAATTTTCTTTGAGAAGTCAGTACAAAACCTTTGATGCCGCATTATCAAAGTGCCGATGGTTAAAGTTAAAACAAAACTATGCATGCACTCTCTTTGATTTTAATGGTTATTTTTTTATTCGCTATGTATGTTTGGTATGGTATGTATAGGGTTGCAACGATATATCGGAATATCGATAATATCGAGACCAAAATATCGATATTTAAAATTCACTAATATCGATATCGGAAATTCCAAAATATCGATATTTCGTAGACTAAATTTAAACACAATAATATCAATTAATTTACCTGCTATGACTATCTAAATTGAATAATATCGAAATAACTATTGCTTTGAAATCGCAAGAGCTTATAGATGTATTAAAAAAATCTTGAACCCCAAGAAATATACTAAACAGGTGTGGATTCTGGCATGATTCTCTAAACCTAAAATTAAATTTGACAACAGTGTATCCTTGTCATTCTCTATAAAGAATGATAAGGAGAGACTGATGTTAAATTTAGTTTTAAGTTTAGATAATCATGCCAGAATCGACACCATCGTATATAGGTATAATCGTATACCTAATGGTAACTCATGCACTTAAATAAAATCCTTGCCTCTCTTTCTAGATAATTGTGAACTACTGATTAATTGAAATTAAATATCATTGTAATATAACACAAAATAAAATTAAGAATCTTATACAAATCGTAACTTTTTTAAGCTCGCCAAGTAAGATAGGTACCTATAGTAATTTTGGAAGCTTTGGGCTTACCCTATTCTGAAGCCATGGGCACGCCCCTGATGTATGGGAGACTAAGCAATTTGCGTATTTGATATGCGCTAAAAAACCGACATAGCTTGGAAAAGCACGAATGTAGTGAAAACTTAGCGAAGGCATTCGCAAATGTCGTCCCACATATGCGGGTAGGCGCATTCGTGCTAATAAATGTGAGTGATCTGATCAGGATAATATTTTAATTTTTTGGTTTCCTGTCGTGGCTGAAACACAAACCGTGCGAGCCAATAAAAAAAACCTGCTTGGCGCGATTTCATCAAGCGTTTTTAACGAAAAAGCTGGCTCAATGCATTTCGCGAGAAACTCGCCAACAAACATATGAATGTGTTACACACTCAACCCGTATTCTAATGTCAATAAAAAAAAGGAAAAAAATATCGATATATCGATAATATCGAGTTAAAATGGTCGATATATCGGATGTCGATATTTTCCTGACTTCGATATAAATATCGATATTTCAAAAGACTTTGCATCCCTAGGTATGTATCCCAGTGAAGTGGCGCACACTAAGGTGCGTCGATCCTGAGAAGCCCCCATATGGGCGTAGGAGGGTACCGGGGGGTTTTAGTGGAGTAGGATCAGTGTGGCCTTCCGCACTGGTCCTGCTTGAGTAGGGTCGGCACTGCGAGGCCCACACACGCCGTGCGTCTAGTCAGCGTCACGGTATGGTGCGTAACTGCATTTCCCCTCGTCACAAAAAAAAATGGTATGGTATGTATGGTATTGGTCGTAATGCGCATAGGTCCAGTTTTTCATATTCTTTGATACAGTTTTTTGCGTCTCATAGAATTCCTAAGCGTACCTATACACCGAACTGTTATACCTAACTATTCCGTGAAATAGCGTTAAATCCTAGCTGCAAGACGCAAGAGTCTTGCCGGATTAGTCTTGTTCTTGCTCAAGTCTTGCACGGTCAGTCTTGGTCTTGGTCTTGCTAAAAATACGCGGTCTTGTTCTTGGTCTTGGTCTTGCAAAAATGCAAGAACAAGACCAAGACTGCAAGACCAAGACTGAATTTGGGCAACACTAATTTGAAGTATGGCACAATGTCACGTCTTAATACAATTTTTACTTAGAATAATGAATGTCACTCCCAAACTATGATGTGCTTTACCTTTGTATTTTTTTGGTTAATAGACAACAGAAAAAATAAGTGTCCATTATTTTCGGATAATATCACTGACGTACTAAATAAAATAGAAATTTGTTTTTTTTCTCTTGCCTGGGCACAGCATTAATATTGAAGTATTCAAGTTTCGCTATAGCCAATCATTGAATAGGTGATCCAAATTTTATTAATCTAAAGAAGAATATAGCTCCAGGCTCGAGTAAAAAATTCTGTATAATACTATTTTTTTCAATAGTGTTTCTGGGCGCTAGGCGCATGCTTGGAAGTGGCTCTGGCGTTGGTGGTGATGCCCACATTGGGTGTTCACTGGTTGCTGGCACTTTCCACAATTCCTCTTTTGATCTTCGCCCTTATATGTCCAGTAAGTATTTTTTTTTGAAATCTCCCTGTATCATATCACTTTAAATCTATATTTTAATATTATAATGTAAGAAAACGCCTTCATAAACCAACAACTTATTTATTCAACTCCAAAAAGAGACGACACGTGAAAACACTTCAACGGCTATCAACAGAATGCCCTGTCTACTCCCCACGCCCCGCCATGATTCAATCGGCCTTAGTTCATTCGCGCCATCTCTCACTCCGGTTTTAATTAATTTTCATACAGTGATCGATAAACTACTTTTAATAATAATTTTATTAATAATTTGACAAAATAAAATTATAACTAATAATAAATGCGAAAGCGTGTCTGTCTGTTACCTTTTTACGCTTAAACTGCTGAACCTATTTGGATAAAATTTTGTATAGAGATTTTAATTCCAAGGTATTCCAAGGACATGGGATAGTTTTTATCTTATGAATCATCATTTAAGAGGTTGAAAGGGGGGGGATGTAAGTTTATATGAAAATACCAACATGAATAGACATAGCATCTTTAGTATCTCTAGGTTGGTATTGAATTAAAGATGTAAGTAATAGAATTAATTTAATACTCTACTAAGCAGGAGCAGGAGCTCTCTTAGCAGGAGCTAATAGCGCGGGTCGTTAGCACATTCGATCTGCGATCGTGAAACTTAAGCAACTTTCGCAATGGCCGATCATTGGACGGATGGCCTAAAACTCAATATCTCGAGGTCCTCCGTGTTTGGGAAGGCACGTTAATCATAGAGGTATAAGAATAGAGAAGGGGAGATATAGACTCTACTATAAGTGGAAGTTTCCCATTAATAGAAAGAGAAAGAAGATGAGAGACCGCGAGCTTTCTCTCTCTAATTGCGCATGCGCATTGGCAACCGTAAGCATCTTACTATTTCGATGTGATGCCATTGAATGCCATGCGTCACAGGAGAGAGAGAGATAGCTAGCGGTCTCTCATCTTCTTTCTCTTTCTAGTAGACGGACACTTTTAGAGCCGCCTTCCCCGCTCTATTCTTATACCTCTATGACGTTAATCCGTTGGTCCCACCAATCCCGCATCCAAGCACTGGGCCCGCGTGGCGGTACATGGCACAATCTCCCTTTTCCATTCATAACGGAAGCCTATGCCCCAGCAGTGGGGACGTTAATACGATGATGATAATACTTACAATTACTAGATAGATAAATTCAAGACTCCCTTACATCTTTGTCACATTGTTATCTGATTTACAGTGGTTGCCGGAATCAGCGAGGTTCCACGTAGCAAGTGGGCAGCCAGACAAAGCTTTGGCAACATTAGAGCAGGTAAGTTAAATAGCGCGCGTTTCCCAAACTTCCTGTTACTCACTTCCGTCCCACTCCCACAAATTGCACGAAAGCGAGAGGAAAGATGTTACACATCAATATAAGTATAAAGTTTTAATTATTATTATCGAGTTTCATTGGTCTGTTTCCTTTGACTAGATCGCACAAGACAACGGGCGGCCGATGCTGTTGGGGCGTTTGGTGTGCGACGATTCCGTGGGCATCGGGCAACGTGGAAGACTGAAGCATCTACTCATTCCGCATCTACGGAATACCAGTCTACTGCTTTGGTTCATCTGGTAAGGTTCATATTTAAATGATCATCAAAAAAATAGTAAAAGACAAACCAGCTTTTTCCATGCAAAATTTGAGGATGACGATACGTTAGGGAGCTGTCAAAAATTCGTGCTTGGGCCTCAGTTGGTAATATAACCTAACCTTATCTTTACGTTACCAATTGTATTTTTAAGGTGATCATTTACATTTTTTTAAAGAATCATTTAAATATTTTCCATATTATAAATGCGAAAGCTTGTCATTTTTTCTGTCTGTTTGTTCTCTGTATAATGCAAGCAAGAGGCATAAGCTACCGTGTATACCAAAGTGAGCGCGAGTCGCGATACGAAATCATTGGTGTGTGAATAGTAATCAAATTCACTGATATAAATTTTTGTTGAAGCATGTAACTGCTTGATGTTTAAATCTTAAGAAAATATATCTAGAAAAAAAAACACGTGGACCAGGCAGCAGATGGGACTCGAACCCGCACCCTTCGCTATCCGGACGAATGTACTGACCAATGTGTAGACTCTCAGCCTAGTAAACGTTTCTTCATTATTGCTCAGGCTTGTGTCTCAGTTGGTAACTGTACCTGTCCCGAACCCACAAGAGCATCGATTTTAATTATCTTGGGCTCATTTGAGGCTCTAATTTGAATTGGAGATTACATATCAATAGAATCTCTCTCCACCTTACAGAAGAACACAGTAAAATAACAGTGCCTTTTGGTAGTGTTGTTTTTATGTCGGTGACTAAGGTTCCAGAGCTCCACGGGGTAGGGGATGGGGTTAGGGTTAGGCAACTGCGCCAGTGCTATTTTTTGTATCGCAAACGTCTATAGGCTAAGGTAGTCGCTTACCATCAGGCGGGCCATAACCTTGTTTGCCTTTTAACATAAAAAGAAGGCATATGACATAAGAAATAAAGCCCAGCGTTTCGTCTCAGGATGTCGTGCGCTTTCTGCTACTACGGCCTTGTGCTGATGACGACGGAACTGTTCGAGACGGAGACGGAAACAGGCGACGCTTGTGCGGCCAGCTGCCGTCCCCTTCACACCACCGACTATATGGACCTGCTGTGGACCACGCTTGCAGAGTTCCCCGGTAAGTAAAATGCCTACGAATCCGGTGGTTCACTTTAGTGGGGATTTTTGTGCTTGTTCGTTTTTTGTTTATGTTCGTTTCACATAACGTGACTGACGTCATACTTTTTCGTGCGTGCAGCCGGTGTTCATCTTATAATAAGACGTTATCACGTCAAAAATGAAGTCCTTTGCTCATTGATCCTATATATTAAGCAAATCAATATCAGTGTAAATAAATATCACGCACCTTTTCACACAGGAATATTCGCTACAATCTTCGTGATCGAGAAGTTCGGTAGGAAAAAGACGATGGCAGCTCAGTTCGTGATTTTCGCAGTCTGCGTTTGCGTCCTTATTTATAATGGAAAGTAAGTATTGCTGTTTTACTTCCATACTCTGAGATATTAATCAAATGTCAGCATTAAATTTTTGTCGTCTTATTCTATCGCTATCGCGAATAAAGTGACAGCATTAACTACTAATAAACAAATAAGCCAACCCCCTCTGTTGTAACATATTACTATTATATGTTACAGTAGACAAATTTACCTTACCGAAATGATCTTTTTGTGTTGCTTACCCAAAGGGTCTCAAAGGAAACCCTATTACTTCCACCGCTGTCTTTCCGTTTGTTTCGTTTTGCGAAACCTTGTTTTTAATATGTGCAAAGGTACGGAATTCTCGGGGGAGCATCAAGGTCGCAGTCGACGGTGCATGCTCGGACTCCAAATCCGTAAACGCTGGTGTTCCGCAAGGCTGTGTGCTATCGCCTACGCTGTTTCTTCTTCATATCAATGATATGCTTCAAATTGATGGCATTCATTGTTATGCAGACGACAGCACGGGTGATGCCCTATATACCGGCCGCGCCAACATTTCACGGGAAAACGTCATCGAGAGTCGGAACAAACTTGTGTCTGAAGTCGAAACTTTGTTAAACCAAGTAACGAATTGGGGCCGACTTAATCTAGTCCAATTTAACCCTACGAAGACACAACTATGCGCGTTCACCGCAAAAAAAATACCATTTGTCGTATCTCCTCTCTTTGAGAACACTCCTCCTCCGCCTCAGCTAGTATTGGAATTCTTGGCGTTGACATATCGAGCGACGTGCAGTTTCGGGATCATTTAGAGGGCAAGGCCAAATTGGCCTCTAAGAAGCTTGGTGTGCTCAATAGATCGAGAATGTACTTCACACCGGCCCACCGACTGCAACTTTATAAGGCACAGGTTCGGCCTCACATGCAGTACTGCTCTCATCTTTGGGCGGGGGCACCCCAGTACCAGCTTCTCCCTTTAGATCGCATCCAGCGCCGAGCGGCTCGAATCGTCGACGACCAGGACCTTTCCGATCAGCTTGATCCTTTGGCTTTGCGTAGGGATGTAGCATCGCTCTGCATCTTCTATCGCATTTATCTCGGAGAGTGTTCTGAGGAATTGTTCGGATTAATTCCAGCTGCTGCATTTCGCCATCGTACATCGCGACAAAAATTTCATCCCCATCATCTTGATGCGTGGCTATCCACAACCGTGCGTTTTTGTCGAAATTTTTTACCACGTACGACAAAACTGAATATATTGTCGCCAGCAGTGTTTCCGGACCAATACGACCCAAAAACCTTCAAAAAAAGAGCGTACTCCTTCCTTAAAGGCCGGCATCGCATTTGTGATACTCCTGGTGTTGCAAGTGTCCATGGGCGACGGTGACGGATACCATCAGGTGAGCCGTCTGCTCGTATGCCACCTATAACATAAAAAAAATGTGTTAAACACCATTAAATCTATATCGTGCACGTTGTCATTCACTAATTTACGCCGTCTCACGTCAAATTCTTTCGACGCCTGAAGGTCGACTGAAATGTAGCCACACAAGCTAAGTTCATCGCGTTAAAACCCTTTGATGTTATAATGCGATCCAAACTTTTATTACTTACTTAAGACGGGAATAAAGTCAGTAGTTTACATCATAATATATTTCGTTTACTGCACCGCGACTTGCGCTAACTTCACAGCCGTCATAATAATATGCCGACAGCGATCAAAGTAACATCCTCTTGGAGCGAAATGCCAAAGGTTGACTACATTATTTTATCGAAAGAAGTGGATGCCCGCGACTTTGTTCAATTGATTTCCTATACAAACACCCATTCATTTTCACACCTTTAAAGAATGATTTCTGGGGTAAAATCTGTTCTATGTTCATTCTATACCAAATTTAAAATTGGTTCAGTAGTTTAAGGTCACATTTCATTAGAGCCACCCGGCACCGCCTCTTCGCTCGAAGTCCACTCGTCGTCGACGAGCAAACTTCGGTGAACTCCGCGTTGTCGCGGAAAAATCCCTATCCGGGGATCCGGTGGTTTCGCACTAAGCTTAAAGGGTATTCGCAGGGTTTTTTAGCGGATATTATGCCGTAAAACGCTCGTAAGAGTTACGGGATCCTCAGTGGGCAGCCACTGCGGGAGCCCGTGAAGCTTGCGGGAGCCAGATATGAGGTCCGTTCGGCGGTGTGCCTCTTAAAGGTGCCGTCGTCTGTAAACATAAACAGAATATCAGAGCGTAACATCGGGTAGTCGACGGGTGACCGTCGCGCCGCAACATAGTTGACTCCGCGTTGTCAGCTAAAATTAAGTAGTGTATTAGAGGTCGTCGCTACGTTTACACGTGTGTTTTTACAATGTTTAATTTTACAAACCGTCAATTGGCTCTAAGGGATCATCCATAAAGTAAGTCATATGTTAAGGAGGAGGGAGGGGGTCGACGAAGTGTGACATTGTGTAGCAAGAGGTGGGAGTGTCTTGACTTTCATGACATCATATTTCAAAATCTTTTACTTATCTGTATGGGTTTTGTTTTATTTGCTAATTTTCAGAACAACTGTTTTAATTTAATAATTTCTAGGTGCAAAATAGAAAACCTTGTGACATCACACAAAGAGGGGAGGGTTAAAAAAATTTGGAGATTTAGGCGTGAAGAGATAACAGACAGACACACTTTCGCATTTATAATATTAGAATGAATACCCCAAATATTAGATTACTGCGATTTGTTAGGTGAAGGCAATGTGAACATTAATATTGACTGACATAAACTACTGGATTGTTCCACAGTCGTACGTTTCTGACGTGCGTTTTGTTCGTTGCGCGCGGTATCATTGCGGGACTGTTTCAAGCTGCATACGTGTACACACCAGAGGTAAGAACAGATTTACTATGGATTCTATTCTATTGCATCATTCATTTCTTATATATAAACACTAACCTTAATACCACAAAAAGTTAGTTAGGCATGCGTTAATAACAAGTTTAAGAAAAAAATGTCATACAAAATTTGCCATAACAAAGTTTAAAAGAGTGTCAAACGTTTTAGTACTAAGACCGTAAATCTCTTTAATAATAGGTTCTTACCTATGAAATTGCCGTTTTGCCGTACTGGCTATTGCAAGTCCAAATTTTTTATGTTTTCAAAATATATTTTTAAATATGGAAGCAGGCATGCGTTCAACGCAAGTTTAAGAAAAAAATGACACACAAAATTTGCCTTAACAATTTTTTTGTTTTCAAAATATATTTTTAAAATATGGAAGCGCCATTGTACGTTTTTCATCATTATGTATACGTTAAAATTCGAGTGATTATGGAGTATGAGTACCGTCGTGGCAGCAAAGCGGCAAAAGTGGCACGCAACAACAACGAACAACGGGCTCAAGATTGAAACATTAAATAGATTTTTGTTTCTGATCGGTAATAATACGTCTTTCAATCTTGACCCGCCCGACTTCCTAATCATGAACCAGACATTATTTTTTACTTTTTAGTTCCATTTTCGATTTTAAAGTCGGTTACATTTTTTTAACTATTTGTGTACTTTATAAAAGCATCGAAGGCATTGTTTTATCTTTATAACACAGAATATACGCAATATTGTTATATTGAGTACCTACACATGCAGCATGTTTGAATGTCCAATTGTGACTAAAGCGAATTATGTCATGCACCACGATTTAAGCGGATCACTTTTGAGCCGCGAGTGCCGTATCTTCCCTTTTTGTTTTAGTCTAAGGTAACTAAAAAAAAATACTTATCACACACACATTTATAATTTAAGTAGATAAATAAGGATTATTTTGTTAATTGATCAGGTGTACCCGACTGCTCTGAGATCTACCGCGGTGGGAGCTTGCAGCGGAGTGGCCAGACTCGGTGCTATGATCACCCCCTACGTTGCTCAGGTAAAAACACTCTTATTTATTCTGTATTAAGGTCTGGTTTCGTATGTTGAGATATATGACATTGCCCAGCTCCCCTAGCATGAGCACCGCGACATGATAAAAAATGCGTTTTTATCACGCTTAATTGTCACATTACTATGGAGTTTGACAGGTAGAGCTCATGCTACTGGGGCTGAGTCTATTTAAAATATAAGAAAACCTTATATTTTTATACTATATCCGCGTTAACATTTCTGTTTTATGAGTATCCCATAGGAAATTTACATTTTTCCCTGGATGAAAAGTATACCATGTCACAATCCAGCACATAAACTATATGCATACCAAATACATCCCAATCTGTTTAGTAGTTTTTTCGTGATTGAGTTACTCAATCATAGTAGGAGAGCTACTGAACGTCCTTTCATTTGATACCCATATTTTTGGAAAGTACTAAGTAATAAAAAAACTAGTCTGTCTCTCTGTAGTGTCATATTTTTTGCATTTAGTTAAACTAGGTAAAGTTTTATTATAATTTTATTTGCGATTTAAAGTAAGTAGGTAGAATGACAGGCGGTTCTGGCTAGCATAAGTCCTTGCCAGGTGAGGGGAAAGATGCTATGGAAGTGCGAGTAAGCGAATGAATGTGAACAGTGTTTAGGTAATCACATGCATGTGTCCTGCCGTTGTGTTTATAGTTTGTTATAATAATGTACACTGTTACCTATATATATTTTTTTTTCTATTTTTGTAACATAGTATCCATGTGTGGTTATGAGTAGTCATGCTCTCTTAAAAATCTCTTCGGTGGTGTCGTGTGACGCGGGTCGTTACGTTCCCTAAAAAATGGTTGAGCGAAGCGATGGCTGGTTCATGCGTCATGCTCGTGAACGGGTGCTGCCAGCGGAGATGAGTCTGCTCTTAATTCACTGGGTACTATTAATCGTTGTTCTAAACTTTAATCGTTCATTATTATTATTATTGCCTAAACGGTAGGACACGTCATTCCTAAACTTTGTTAAACCATTTTTTTTACATATTTTTATTTTTTATTTTATAGTCATAATTTTTATATTATTTGCATTTTTTTTTTGTTTGTAATGAAAAGTGACTTTATGAGTTACCTCATATTGAAGTCATTTTTCAATTTGACGACTCTGTATATAATACAGGGAGAAAAAAACAGCCCTTGCTGAGTTTCTTGCCGGTTCTTCTCAGTACAAGGTCTCCCGCCGTAGATTTGCGAACCGATGGCGTAGCTTTTCGACATTCACAAGTGCTTATAACAGCCTAGACTGAATTAACGATTTTGAATTTTGAACATATATTAATTAACGTTAATTAATTTCAAATTATGAGCAGTTTTAAGTTATGTAAATTTTCATACTACGACTCTTACTCGCACTGCCGCAGCATCTTTCCCCTCGCCTGGCAAGGACTTGTGCTAGCCAGAACCGCCTGGCATTCTACCTACTTACTTTAAATCACTTAACCAAACACATATAAATTTCAACTTTACAGAATAAAGTTTATTTTTATGTATATATTACACACCTTCCGGTTCGCCTGGCGGGTACTTGTGCTCATCGTAAACGCCTGGTAATTTTTTTTAAACTTAAAAACGAATAAACTAAATTGTATAGAAATTTCAAGCTTACAGCAACAAATTATTTTTAATATTTTTTGACACTTTCAAAAATATAGGGCTTGATGACGTGCAGGGCTGAGGAGTGCCAGGCGATGCTTACCGTACTAAGCATGCTATGACTCATCACCATAAGAATTTCTAGCCTTACAGACAGACCTTTACTCGGAGGGTTCAGTAGCTCTTGGTCTCACGAAAAAACTAAATACGGACTTTCACATTATAATATTAGTAGAAAGCAGTATGTAAATGTTGCTCGATAGCGCTACTTCGCTAGCGTGTTCGGTCTGCGTTCGTGGAAGTTAATCAACTTTGGCAGTGGTCGGCAATTGGATGGGTGACCAAAAATTTACTATCTCGAGCTTCTCTGTGCTTCGGAAGGCACGGTAAGCCGTTGGTCCCGGCTGCATCTGCAGTCGTCAATACCCACCAATCCGTACTGGGCCCGCATGGTGGGTCATGGCCCAATCTCCCTATTCCATCCTTAGGGAAGGCCTGTACCCCAGCAGTGGGGACATTAATAGGCTGATGATGATGATTATCCTTGAATTTTTAGGTGCTATTCCATTCCTATTCCATCGATAGGGAAGGCCTGTGCCCTAGCAGTGGGGACATTAATAGGCTGATGATGATGAGCTCGATGGCGCAAGTGGTAAGCGCGTTCGGCTGCGATCGTTGAAGTTAAGCAACTTTCGCAGTGGTCGGTCATTGGATGGGTGACCTAAAATTTACTATCTCGAGCTCCTCCGTGCTTCGGAAGGCACGTTAAGCCGTTGGTCCCGGTTGCATCTGCAGTCGTTAGCACCCACCAATCTGCACTGGGCCCGCGTGGTGGGTCATGACCCAATCTCCCTATTCCATCCTTAGGGAAGGCCTGTACCCCAGCAATGGGGACATTAATAGGCTGATGATGATGATTATCCTTGAATTTTTAGGTGCTATTCCATTCCTATTCCATCGATAGGGAAGGCCTGTGCCCCAGCAGTGGGGACATTAATAGGCTGATGATGATGAGCTCGATGGCGCAAGTGGTAAGCGCGTTCGGCTGCGATCGTTGAAGTTAAGCAACTTTCGCAGTGGTCGGTCATTGGATGGGTGACCTAAAATTTACTATCTCGAGCTCCTCCGTGCTTCAGAAGGCACGTTAAGCCGTTGGTCCCGGTTGCATCTGCAGTCGTTAGCACCCACCAATCCGCACTGGGCCCGCGTGGTGGGTCATGGCCCAATCTCCCTATTCCATCCTTAGGGAAGGCCTGTACCCCAGCAGTGGGGACATTAATAGGCTGATGATGATGATTATCCTTGAATTTTTAGGTGCTACTAAAGAACTCCATCGTGATAGCGACCGGGGTGTATTCTTTAGCGGCGGTGCTCGCAGCCATCGCTTGTCTCGCTCTACCGATAGAAACTAAGGGTAGAGAAATGCGCGATTCCGTCACTGCCACGGGGTAAAGTGAGAGAAATATGATCATTATCCGAACTAAAGGGATGATGACGGGTGATAACTTTAGTAAACGAAATTCTATACAGGGTTAATTTTAAAACACCAACAACCTATTAGAGGGTGATTCTACCCATCAACAGGAACAACTTTTATTATGGGACCAACTCTGTAATCGGGAAAAAAAAACAGCTGTTTCATACATTTTGGTCGATTAGCTGATGCACTTTTGTATGAAACAGCAGATTTTTTTTTCGCGATTGCAGCGTTGGTCCCTTAATAAAAGTTGTTCCTGTTCATGGGTAAAATCACCCCCTAAGAGGTTGTTGATGATTTAAAATTAATCCTGTATAGTCCGTCAGTAAGATTATCAAAAAATAATGGACCCTTATTTGAAAAAGATAACGTGACGCCACTTCTGAATAATAATTGTAACAAGAGGTGACGTCATGCGACATTTAAAATTAATATATCTCTGTAATGTTTTGATTATCTGAATAGAGAAAAAATACGTGTTCAATACTTTTTGATAATCTATAGACGAAGAAAAAGAAAAAGTCATCATTCCTAATGGCATTAACTTCTGACCTTTATAATTCCAAACTGTGTATATTGTGCTGTCAATATATTTTTTTATATAAATATATTTTTGACATATTTTTAAACTTTCTACAGCAGTAGAAAAGTTGGTTGCCTTTTTTAGAGAAATTCTATTATACATATACATATACATATATATATATATATTATATACATTCTAGTTAAACGCTTATTCGTTGAGATATGCCTTGTTCACACGTACCGAATAAACTGGCGAGACAGTAAAACGTTTCTCGGCCGAGACAGTGATCGAAATTAAAAACTCCTGTAAAAGCGCTCTGCCTAGCACTCCGCTCTATGTTTATACGTACCGAGTACTCGGCCGAGAGCACTGTCTCGCTCGTTTGATCAAGACATTATGCCTTGATCACACGTACCGAGCAAACAAGCGAGACGGTGCTCTCGGTCAAGTATTCGGTACGAATAAATCTAGCGCCGAGTGTTCGACCGAGAGCTCTTACATGAGTTTTTAACTTCCATTACTGTCTCGGCCGATAAACATTTAACTGTCTCCACCGTTTATTCGGTACTTGTGATCAAGGCATTAGAGTTTAAAATATAAGCCTGGGTTCAATATAAATACACAAATATTCGATTGTTAATCAAGTATCTCTGGTTCTTCATACAAAAAAAAGCGTGCTGTACAATGCCGTGTAAGCACACTTCCATAATCAGTATTATCAAATCATGTAAGTGTGGATAATCCCTAAGTAGGTAAGTAAAGGTCGCGGCAAACTTCTTGAGCAAAACCACAGACAAACTTAGATTAAAACAATAAAGTAAGATACGGCACCCACGGCTCGAAAGTGATCCGCTTAAATTGTGGTGCACGACCACAATTTGCTTTAGTCACAATTGGACATTCAAACACGCTGCATGTGCACTCAATATAACAATATTGCGTATATTCTGTGTTATAAAGATAAAACAATGCCTTTGATGCTTTTATAAAGAACACAAATAGTTCAAAATCAAATAACAAATGCCTCGGCAACACTTTTCATTCGCAGAACTTCAAAATATATTTTTTCTCAAAAATCACGGTTTATCGTGAATGTTATTTACGTAATCGCCATTTTGTTAACAAGAAAAGGACAACAATACAGATCAGCCGTTCGGACTTGAAACTGGATTCGCCGCTTCGCTCGCGCTGCGTTGAAGCGAACAGTTCTGTCTCGCTCGCCCGATTGAATGTCTTTATATAAGACGTGTGCGTGTGTGAGTTGCTTATGTAGTTGAGTCGGATCATATTTTATTTGATGCTAGTATGAGCGTACCGTATCTTCCCTTTTGTTTTAATCTAAGCAGACAAATAAACTTGCGCAGTAGACGTTTTTGTATGTAAAATTGCAACTGCGCAGGCTTGCTTGTGTCGTTGCTTAAGAACTTTGACGGGATGTATACTAACCCCTTGTTTACACCAAGGTATAATTCATGTATTTAACAAATTTTATACAATGTCTTTATTTTTTGTTTACACTTATATACATGTATAACACATATTATAGTATACAATACTTGCGTCAAACTGATCGGCTAAACTAAATATGTGAAGTAAATAGTGATTTATACTTGTATAGATACTAGTTTTCTATGCAGTGTAAACAAAATTATTGTACTAGTTATGTGTTAAACTAGTATATGACTTGTCTCTTGGTTTAAACGAAGGGTAAGGATAAATAAAATATACAGATTTTATATGTGCTTATTGTCAAAAGACTAAACTAGTCGTTAATTATTTACTCACAAAAAGAATCTCGAACAAATATAATAACTAACTTTAATTTATGAATTAAAATACACAGAAATTTTATAGATAACTTGCAACTTCGTCTTTTCAAGGTTAACAAAATGTCACGCGATTTCATTACGAAGTTTATGCGACTCGCATTATTATATTCCTTAACTATTAAGTATGCATAATTTTATGTTGTACCTATTTGTATACATTGCACTAGTGATATTATTTTAAATGTGAGCACGATTTTATTTATTGCTTTCAGTATTGCAAAATCTCATATAGTTACTAAAGACTGCATTTTGCATTTACCTCTTTTTAATTTATATTAATTTTAAGTGTTAAAATAATATTTTGTTCATATAAAACGCTTGATCATTAATGGGCACAATGAACTTTTTTTTAATTTTGTATATGAAATGATATGTATACATTTTCGCTGAGGCTCCCGATATATCCCGTTATTTCCTAGTTTGTGAACAATATCTGGAATCGTCCAGTATAATAAATAATACTTGTCCTTTACCCTTTCAGTCACAAGATCAATACTTAAAAGATGCTTGAAGAGAAGTTGTTTAAGTTACGAGTTCTTTCATTTCTGCAGATTCTCATATTTGAAATAAAAATTTATAATAAAAAGATACCTAGTAAAATCACGGAATAATATACTCGCATTCATAATTTTGGATGTTTTTATATAAGTAGGTAAATAAACATTCTTTAAAAAATCATCAAATTATATTTTAAAAAATCTAACAAATATTTAAATGCGTAATTTTTAATTTTTGATATAATCAGAACGTAAAACTAAATTTAACAATAGTATATGATGCTCTTTAGGGCGTGCGCTGCCTAAGAGCCTGCACTGCGTTAAGCGGGGCACGGAGCGGACGTCCGCTAAGGCAGCGCAGGCCCTTAAAGATCGGAAAGAAGGAACTGACGTTAATTAGATAATCATGGAAGGTAAAGGTGCAACAACGTCTGAACATTATAGTGAGATTAAAAACAACTTTTGTTTTAATATCTGCGTGTGTGATGTTAACGGAGTTATTGGGGCCTTTTTTGTCTTGATCTGAATAATCCTAGAATGTATAATGAATAAGATATAAATGAGAATTTCTAAGAATTATACAAATTGTTAATCCGTCCTATTGTTATGAGTCTTCCTTGATATTAATAACTGTGTGATATTTGAACACTGAAGTAACTTAATAAACTCTAATAAATTGATTTATTAGCTATCTGAATGTATCAATTTAATTTTTAATGTTGTTTGTTAGACCTTTTAGGGGTCTTCCATTAAGAGCCCTTTTACAAAATTGCGCCGCTGCCCAACTGATCGGCGCGTAGGTAGATTTTCACTAGTATATATTGCATTTTACGGTTGATGTTTCGAGTCTTATGAAATAATTATTAATGAACTGATTATAAAAATATATACATATTTCAGTACTTCAATGATGGTATATTAGTTTTATCAAAGTTTTTGGTAGTCATTCTATTTAATTCAATATCAAAATACGAGGTAAACCTGCATTATTTTTTGGGAAAACTCACGGAGGTTAGATGTTTTTTTGATAATTAATGAGATGAAAAATCGAAATTCTAATACTTTATGTTACAGCAAAAACATATTTTTGATGTCGTAGTAATTAATTTGATCTAATTTTCGAACATTATTGAGAGATTGAGGGGTTTGAAGTTGTGTAAATTATCGTTTTTTCGTAAACTAGCTGCAGTGGAACGATCAGTACAAAAAAAGGAAAGTAGTATTTGCAAATATTCTACATTAACTTACGATAGGAAGAATAAATCTACTGTTTACTTCTATTAGGAATAGTCAAAATCTTTTCTAAAGGGGTAAACTAGGCGCTGAAAAATTACGATTTTTTGCAAAAAATGTTAAGGGGCTCTTAATCACGTAATTTTTTTTTTATTTAAAGTATTTTGATAAATTTTAGAATATTACCTTTAAATCGATGCTTGGCTTAAACCCCTCCTCCCCCCTCGTGATATTTCGTGATTTTTAACGTGATTAATGGAAGATCCCTTAAAGAAAACTATAAATTATGAAAGCTAAGTAAATCGTCAAATGAGAACATTATAATTACGATCGATGAAAACAACCAGTCTGTTTCCATATGGATATATAGCTACATTATAAATATGTATTATGCTGAATTCGACAAGGGTTACCATTGAGGAATTTTAAAAATCCTGACATTTAGAAAAAAAATCCGGACTTTTTAGGCACAAATGGCACCATTACTCACTTAGTTACAATGGTCTGGTATTTAAATCAATATGTACGAGTACTTTTATTTTTCATATCCCAAAGTAATTTATAAAATCCGGACAATTTAAAGATCTGGACAAAGTCTAGACTATAGTCTAAAAGTCCGGAAATGTCCGGGCTAATCCGGATCCGGATGGATGGTAACCCTAAATTCGACCTAAAATTATAAGATAGAAAGTTTGTAAAAATATAGGAATCAAATTGCCATAGGTCATCATGGCTCTGCACCATGGTGGAGATATGCAGCATTACGTTAATATGACAGTATTGTAATTAATACATTGATGTTCTGTACTTATTTTTTCGTATTATGTAATTCGCACGTGGTTGTGATACTAAGACTTGTACTTTCAGTGGTGCTATTACAATTGTAAAATAAAAGCCGTATTTATATAAATTAAAACTAGGTTATCCAAAAACAAAAGAAAACAACAAAGGCTATATCGTAGAAATGAAGGAATATGTCCGTGCCCTCCAAGAGGTCACGGTGGAAAACGTAAATTTGGTATACATCAAGATTTTGCTGGACCTTTAAAAAAATTTTTTGCCAAAAGGATAAATGTTTAGCTGTTGTAAGTCGAACGCTACGACACACCGAATGTGGGCTCTCAGACGAAACACCTCAATTTTGCATATTTCTGTATCTGACCAATTTAAATAATTTTGATAAATGGTAATATTTAGAGGGTAATTTGTAGAACTACGTAAAAAAATTGAGCTCTGTTAGTGACTACAAATAAAGCAAATCCAATTAGTTGGTGGGCCCTCAAATCTTACGTGTTCAAAATTTACTCTACTGCTACTTTGTATTTAAAGCTAAGTTTCTTTGGCAAGCTTTAAAATTTTGCAGAAGTGGTCAAAATGCTACCCTGAGAGTACGAGATAGGGTATTTTCCAAATTTTTGATGACTGATTATATTGAAAGATTGGGACAAACGATTTAACAGAAAAATAAAAATAAATTAAATTATGTCTTTTTTCTCCATTAAACCAATTAAAGTTGAATTTACTTTTAATGGTTTTGAATTTACCGCCAAAACGCTCGGTTCGATGACGTCTAACAAGTAAAATCGAGTTAGTCGGCTTTTAGAAACCCGGCTTCCATTGTGGAAAATAAGTAAAATCGAAATACTGTAACAAAGAAATCGTCAAATAATTACTCCGTAATCACAGATCGTGTACAGACTGCATAGGTGTCTAGGTGTTAGACACAAAGTTGACGTCACACAGTAGACGTCATCGAACCGAGTGTTTTGGCGGTTAATTCAAAACCATTAAAAATAAATTCAACTTTAATTAATTGGTCTAATGGAGAAAAAAGGCATTAATTTATTTATTTTTATTTTTCTGATAAATCGTTTGTTGTTAAATCTTTAGACATAAGCAGTTTTAAAAAAAATGGAAAATACCCTATTAATATATTCTACCAGTACAGAATAATAGGCTCTAGTGAGTGGGCTCTAAATCTTTATGTATACGGATCCGACATTTTCCACAGTGGCCTCTCGGGAGGCACGCATATTAGTAGAGTCAATGAAGCTTTTTACCTGGAAACCCGGTGGAACAGCTTCGATTCTGATGATTTTTTTTTAATAATTTTGTTTTTTTATATTATTTGAAATCAGAAACCTCTGGAGAGGGGGAAATAATTTTATATTGTTTAAACAATTTTTATGACATTTTTGGGAAAAAAAATGTTTTTTTATAAAATATCAATTGAAAACTCACAAAAAAATATGTTTATGTTATTGTTTTCATATTGTTATCACAAATAATTTTAATTTACATGTTATTATATCAAAAACTTTTAAAAACAATTAATTATAAGATCTTTCATCTAATATAATGACATGACGCTGATATACTTAAAAAAGTTAGGATATATTTCATGAAATATAAGAAATTAATAGTTTCATTACTAACATAAATAAAAAAAAATTAATAAAAGAAATATATATATATATTGGGTCAGAGGCCGCGCTCTCAAGGATCCCGAGGTCGATTCACTCAAAGCAGCCTACAATTTTGCTTCCAAGGCCTGTAAGAAGGCTTACATCAGAGCGGATGCCCAGCGCGTTGCACGTATTGGCCAGGAACTTATAACGCATCCTACGCTCCCGTAGCTACTGGCCGTGCAAAAAACCTGCCAGCCCTCGCTGCCACCTCTGAGATGCTCAGACGGAACACTAGCTCATAAGCCGCAGGAGAAAGCCGATTTACTGGCAGAACTCTTTGCGGCTAACTCCCAAATCGATAATTGCAATGCACTACCACCATCATTACCTCACTGTGGCACAACGATGCCTGATATTAAAATCAGGCAGTGTGAGGTTCGTGCCGAATTGCAATCACTCGACGTCCGGAAAGCTAGTGGACCTGATGGCATCCCAGCAGTAGTACTGAAAAAATGTGCAACGGAGTTGTCTCCCGTGCTCACGCGCTTGTACCAATGCTCGTATTCTTTGGGGCGTGTGCCGGAGACTTGGAGAGATGCTTACGTGCAACCGGTGCCCAAAAAAGGGGATCGCTCAGACCCGGCAAACTACCGGCCAATAGCAGTCATCTCAGTTTTATGTAAAGTTCTAGAAAAGCTCCTTAATAACCATCTGACCCGTCATCTTATTTTATATTTATTTTATTTATTTATCATCTTCAGGGCACAACACTACCGCTACAGAGCAACATTTCCATGCTCGGTATGGAAGTTCGCTCAGACCTGAATCCAAAGGACTACATCGAAACCGTGATCAAAACAGCTTCGCGCAAACTCGGAGTCCTGAACAAGGTGCGGCGTTCTTTCACGCCAGATCAACTGTGCTTGTTGTACAAAACGCAAGTACGGTCCTGCGTGGAATATTGCTTGCACCTCTGGGATAGCTCCGCCAAGTACTTGCTCGATGCTTTGGATAGGTTACAGCAGCGCGCGATCCGCATCATAGGCGATGAGGAGGTGACTAAACACCTTAAGCCGTGACGTGGCGTCACTAAGCGCGTTCTATCGTCTGTACCACGGCGAGTGTTCTCAGGAGTTATTCTCTCTTATCCCACCTTCCCCTTTCCTTCAGAGGACCACGCGCGCTGGCCTACGTTGTCACCGTCTTACTGTGGCCACAATACCAACGCGTACAAAGAAATTTGGTGACTCATTTCTTCGTCGCACTATCCGTAAATGAAATGCTCTGCCCGCTCACGTGTTGGGCGTGAAGAAGCAACATGCAGGCCGGCAGGGTGAGGATGGCTGGTGTGGCAGGTAGAACTGCTGTATCAGCTATCTTCGCGTCTGGACTTCACCTTCACTTAACATCAGGTGGGGTGGAGTCATTTGTCGGGCCTATCTGTAAATATATATATATATATATATGAAGTAACTAAAATATAACGTAAGTGCTCAACGCATTCGTATTATTGACCAATACATCGTATTTTAATGGTTTAAATATTAAATTATTATTAAAAGCCTCATTTTAACAACTATTTTTTATACTAACATTAACTTTAAATTAAATTATAATATAAAAAAAAATATATCAAAATCGAAGCTGTTCCACCGGGTTTCCAAGTTTTGCCTGTTTTATGTCTTTATTGACTCGACTATATGAAAGAATTAATATCGCAGAGAAGCGACGAGCTGCCGCGATCACATTGTAACTACCCGACTTCGTAGAGATGGTAGCTATAAATGTATAGGAAATAATCTTAGAATGTTTTCAGTGATTTAATCACAATAAGCATAAAGTATTGTGACTAAGTGACTAATCTGGGTACTTACACCAAATATATTTACTATAATGTTTATGCTTAATATAATTTATTTTTAATAAACTGCACTTTCAAAATATGATCTTTTATTTTAAAAGCTATTTGTTGATATATATGTTACGGCTAATAGCCGAAGTGCGGCTACACCTAGTTTTAGCCGGCTACAACTAGGTGCAGCCCGCCACATGCGGTAAACTTAGGTGTATCCTACATATCTTCGGTTACAACTAGGTTTAGCCTTCATTATAGCGGCTAGAACTAGGTACAGCCACACACTGGTAGTTAAACTTAGGTGCATCCTATTTATTATCGGCTAGAACTAGGTTTTCAGTTCACTTAAAGATTTTGGTTGGAGATTCGTATCTTGCGTTTCCTGATTGATTCGATTTTGTATCATCACCCCGGTAAATAAGATATCTTATCCTAGATAAGCCATAAACCATGCCAGTCCGAAACAAGATTTATACTCGTAATTGTGTTGAATTATATTATGAACTGAAATGAAATTTCGTCTTTTAATGTGGAGAGTCCCTCTGTAGTAAAAACTACAGTAAGTAGACTTGTTTAACTCCAAATGCCATTCAAGTTTATCTTGTTCAAATAAGTGATATACATTCTTGCAACATACTATCACATATGAGAGTTTGTTGATTTTTGTATAATTAAAACTGAGTTAAAAAGTTATCCTATTTGTTTTAAAAATATGAGAGAAGAGAACAAAGACTTAGTTGGTTTTTTCATAGTTAAGAAGTAAAACCTTATTTTTTATGTTTGCGCCAAAGATATTTCTGTTAGTTTATGAAGAGAAGAGATATAATATTTTGTGTTTTAATTACTTATAATAACATCTTTTTTGGTTAAAAGATATTTGCCTGTCAAATAATAAATGTCACTTAAACATCCCTGTCTTTTATTTATTCCATGTAATCGAATCAATCGGGAAACGCAAAATTAGAATCTCAAAACAACTGAACTGAAAACCTTGTTCTAGCCGATGATAAATAGGGTACACCTAAGTTTAACCACCGGTGTGTGGCTGCACCTAGTTTTAGCCGCTATAATAAAGGCTAAATCTAGTTTAACCGAAGATAAGTAGGATACACCTAAGTTTAACCGCACGTGGCGGGCTGCTCCTAGTTGTAGCCGGCTAAAACTAGGTGTAGCCGTACTTCGGCTATTAGCCGTAACATATATACTATTAAAATGCTGAAGAGTTTGTTTGTTTGGTTGAACGGATTATCTCAGGAACTACTAATTAAGATTGAAAAATCTTTTATGATATATAGCCCATTTATCGAGGAAGGTTAGGTATAGGCTATATAATGTGTCCGTGATGCTAGCGTACCCACGATCAATATACGGTTTTTCGTTATGCCATTAAATAGTGCGTAAATAGTGCCAAATTAGTGTAAAAATAATAAAAACAGTGCCTCTTTAATTTAAGAAATAAATACCATTTTTACTGTGTACGCTACAATGACGTCAAGCTAGCGTACCCATGGCCGACCCCAAGAACGGCACATATTTATGCAACGAAATTGACACACAAAAATAGTTCGCAAATAGTGCCCAGGATTTACAAAATTTCATAGTCAATACTCTTAAAGGACCAAAGATATTGAAATAAACATTCTTAGCTGGCGTCAACCTGGCGTACCCATAATAGTTCTCATAGAAAATGAACTTTTCTCGTTGTCAATTCTATATGTATAAATAGTGTGTCAAATAGTGCCTCTAACAGTAAAAGTATTTTTAAATCATCAAGTATGTTTCCAGAAGGGAAACATACTTGATGATTTAAAATTGGCGTATTTAGGTTTCAGATGAGATATATATGGATCCGAAGATATCAAAAAATTTTGTATAATATCTTCATTATTTTGAAATCTTCCTGTTTTTCTCGTGTGGCGCTCTCTGGTATTTCGGAAGTCCTTATTTCTTGCTTCTGCTGCTTCTTCTGACAAAATTCCTATAGGAAGACAAGAAAAATGTTTGCATATGTCTGCGCCATGTATCAGCATTTTGTGTACGTTGGAAGGCATGTTGTACCAGGGGTAGTGATGTACAAAGAGTTCAGCAGTCTCCTTGCAGTATCCACGGAATCGATCGATATTGACAGCCTTTCCAGAAGATAACACTTGCAATATGACTGCGAAGTGTTTTATCAAATCAATATCAATCTTCGTTATTTGAGCTGTCTTTTCGTATTCTCGGAAAAATCTTCTGGCCGTGTTCCCATCATTTGTAGTTCCAAAGCCCTGCTTCACAAGATCAATCAAAAATCCCATCTGTTGTTTGAACTCCGATTGCACCATGTTCTTTCGAAACTTCTTAAGGTTCTTGTTTTCGCCTCTTGCACTCCACATTTCAAAATCTAAATTATACGAAATGTGTAAAAGACACTCCATGCTTCGAATCCACATATGGAGTGTTGACAATCCATATTGATATACATCTTCCCGGACAGGTCTTGAAAACATTTGAGAAAGATTATTCATTTCGCTTGGTTTTGCAAGACAAATATTGCAAGTAGCTGCAGAGGGAGTATTTGTAATTATTGTAGTCACTTTCCCATCAATCATTGTCATATGAAGCTCATGAGTAACTTCCAAGTTTCCGCAACTTGAAACAGTCAAATTTTGTATTTCTTCCTCCATTGCCGCTTGTTCTTGCTTAACAAAGTCAGTTGTTTCCTTCGCAAACTGAAATTTAATAGGTCTGCAATAAAACGTTGAAGATGGCTTTGGATTATCCCAAATGACAATATTTTCGGCCTCTAGCTTCAGGGGAACGAGGCTGGTCATGAACACAAAGGAGTCGTCGAATTCTGCCATTTCACTTCTTTGCTTGTAGTTGCTCTGTGCTGAAGAACCATCAAATCCCCATTTACTGGTCAGCTTCAAGCTTCCACTGGAAATATTTAAATCATCACCCAACACTTCTTCGCGTTGTGACATCTAAAAGGGCTTGTAGTTTCACCTTCGCTCCATCTTCTGATATTATTATATCTCTGGCATCTGGATAACACCTTTTCTTAGCTTCTAACAACTTGTGGTAAGACGGAAGCTTCAACTGTTGTGACAATGCAGACCGTGAAGTGAGGTACTTCCACTTTGAAAGATCCAATGAAGTAGTTAGGGCCAAAACTTGATCTTCCTGCATAGTCTCTTTCTTTTCGTTCATAAATAAAAATGATTCAACAACTCCAACCTTTTCAGGCTTCTTCATAAGATGATCGATGATGCGAGCAAGAACTTCTTTTCCATTAGACTTTAGTTTGGTGATAAAGGCAAAAGTCAGTTCCTCTACCGGATAGTCAAGTAATGTACCCGATCGCCTTTTCTTCTGCTTGTTTCCTAGGTCTTCAAATGGCTTTCTTGATACGATGTCTGTACAAGTGCTCATATCAATAGTCGCCTTCGAAGTAGATGCAAAGGGTAAAACAGCTGCTTCTTCTTCTGTGGAACGATGATCGAAATTTTCGGCCTCTTCAAAAATTTCGGAGAGATTCACGGATTCGCATTCAGGCCACTTAATTCTTGTTTCTAACCAGCTCATATGCTTTTTCATGAACGTTTTTTGCACCCTGTGTGCTTCGGTCCATCTACGATTTAAGTTGACAGTGAGAGATCTTGCAAAATTCAAAATTTTTTCAGAATCTTCTTGCGAAATATCAAGCAAAATGCAGTCCAAAATTGCTTGATGCAGTCGTTTGTAGTCCTTGAGGTCCCCTTTTCGTAGAAACACGTAAATGTCCAGGTAAGTACCAAATCCAGCCATGACTAAGTAGGTAGTTTTCTTCAGGTTAAAATTTCCAGGTATGTTGACTCTTCAAGATTTGAATGTCTATTGACGCTCTAGCCGGACCTCCCATCAGTTTTATTTTATTTACAAGCACGCAACTAGTAAGGGTCTTAACGAGAAAAAGAGAGCAATAGAGAAAGAGATAGCATTAGTAGAAAATGAAAGAGATAGCAATATTAGGCAATGGGAGGGGGAAATTAGCAGCCAATACGTCATTCGGTCACTAACTGCGCTTTGGGTAACAGCGATAACCACTAAGAAGTAAAATATGAAAACAATTTGTATCTATTTTTCGAAATCATCTTAATTTAGGAAATAATGCATTTTAAAGTTTATAATATTGAAAATATACGAAAATTATGTGACTATAAATGATTAAAAACCTTTAAATGACACAAATAGTTAGAATTAAAAAATTGAAACTTCTGATGCCTATTTCGGCCAAGGCTGCAAGTGCATGCAAAAGATTTGATGGTGAAATTAATAAATATATGTAATACAATAATTTACAAATGGTTTCATTGCTAACACTTTTAAACATTTCGAGAAAAAAAATTTCAGTTTTGCTCCATACATTTTTTTCTTAAATATTTTTTTTTCGCGAAAATATACGATCACATGAAAACTGCTAGAACAAAAGTTGATAAGCGTTCACTTATCTGTCCGCATGATTTTTTTCAGCGCGAAATATTAACCTTGGGTCCTAAGACCACTATATTCAAAATCCGGACCACTGTGCGCCAGGTTGACGCCAGCTAAGAATGTTTAGTTCAATATCTTTGGTCCTTTATGAGTAATGATTATGAAATTTTGTAAAGCCAGGGCACTATTTGCGAACTATTTTTGTGTGTCAATTTCGTTGCTTAAATATGTGCCGTTCTTGGGGTCGGCGATGGGTACGCTAGCTTGTTGACGTCATGGTAGCGTACACAGTAAAAATGGTCTTTATTTCTTAAATTAAAGAGGCACAATTTTTATTTATTTTTACACTAATTTGGCACTATTTACGCAGTATTTAATGGCATAACGAAAAACCGTATATTGATCGTGGGTACGCTAGCATCACGGATACCTATATAATATAAATATGACTAATAGAAGCGGAAGATCAATGAAAAATGTTGCGAAAACGGGGAAAAAATATTCCTTTTCAGAGCTTTCGTTGTGTGCGCTGCGTAAACGGTTAAAGTTACATAAAAATCATGTATGAAAAAAATGTCCTCCTTTAAAAGTTGTAAAAAAAGTCCGCGACAGCATATGTCTCTATCTTTTAATGTTACTAAACTTCTTTAGGTAATCAGAGTTGTTCACAATTACTTATACATTATCTGCGAAGGTGTTTTTATAAACATGATAAATATCAAAATAAACATATTATTTATCACAAGTATTTCAGTTTGATTTCCCCACTGCTGGAACATAAGCATTTCCTAAGGATGGAATAGGGAGCTTTGGCCATGACTCACAACGCGACTAACGATTGCTGAAACAGCAGGAACATAATATATTTTTGGTCACCTATCCTAAGATCAGCCATAGCGAAAGTTGCTTAGCTTCTTTCGTCATTATTTTAAAATTATTTAGGCCAAAACGGCTATGTGTGCACAATACAATAATCAATAATAGCGTGTAAAGCACAAAGTAAGGTTGGTTCATTTGTGGTCAGATATAAGGTAAAATGGCTGATGAGGGAGGTATTATGCTGCTTTTTTGGGTGATTTTAAGCAGATACTGGGATTCTCACAGTCCTTGGCCATGCCTACCAAATGTTTTGCAATATTGCATTACATTACCTACTTTATTCATTGCGGGGGTGGATCTTAGTATTGGTCAGTTTTTTTAATAGCTAGAATAACCATGTACCTCTTTTGCGTGTTAGCCCCAGCAATATTCATGCGAAAGTTACAGATAATTAAGCATGTAATAACTTTGAAAAAAATATTTGCCCAAAGAAATCAAAAACTTTAATAGAAATCATAGAACCTTTGTACCTCTTGTTAATTTCCGACATCTTCGCGTACGATGTCGCGGGCACGGCTAGTTTATAATTATATAGGTGTGGGTGGGTTAATGTGGTTAAGCCGCGTATCCACTAGAGGCAGCCTCGGGTCGAGCGGCTGCGCAAGTGGAGACGCTGCCTCAACCTGAGGCACGCCGCGACGCGAGGCAAATTCGTCGCCGCGAGCCGAGCCATATTTTGTCGGTTTCTGTGCCGTGCTCAAAGGCGCCTCAGTCCGAGCCGTGTGTTTAATGGAGACGGTCGCTAAAATTTCGAAAGCTATCGCCACCTTCCGTCATGTCCAATAGCAAGTGTTCACATGCATGTATAGTTCTATTGCGGTATAATTCTTTTATCCACCAGCGATGCTTCCTCTTTTGTATAGCTTTTTGTTGCCTCCTCTTTTTCTTAATAATGGTTATGGCTATTAAAGCAGCAGCTACTCGACGCGCGTCTGGTGCCATCGCGTTTTGGCTTTTAACTGCGCAGTGCGCCGTCAGCGGATCAAGCTCAGGCGACACGCCTCGAGCTGATCCGTAGCCGTTGCCTCAGAGCGAGCAGCCTCAAACTGAGGCTATTTGCTTCAAGTCGAGGCCGCTCGACGCGAGGCTGCCTCTAGTGGATACGCGGCTTCACATAACAGATAAAAAAAAATCTGTAAGGTAGTTACAATAAAACAGCATAAGCATACATTGTTACGATTTAATAATTAATTAACATGTAATTCATTTTATTCCTTTTTCTATTTTTCACAATACCTTGAAGAAAATAATTATAAATCACAGTGCGACTCACGCTAAACATATTAATACAAGCTTCTTCAATACTTCGTAAAACTACAAATAAGCAATCAGTCAAATAATGGCATAGGTAAATTAATACCTACCTACTATAACTTTCGATAAAATCAATGCAAATGTGGAAGAAACTGTAACGGAAATCTTAACCGCTAAGAGAGTTCTAAGATTATCTAAGTATACTTACATTAAAAATTATTGAAATACTAAATTATTACACAGTAGGTATTATTTACATTCATAGCCAGTATAAAATAAATTTATCTTTGTCATTATTTAAAATTTGTATATCTAAATTTACATTCTAGTGACATTAAATCAAATTCAAACAAGCGAAACGATACCGCGTTGTCGACAAATTAATGATGATCCTGCTAAACAGCTTTGCCAAAACCTCTTTGCAAGTAAATTATTTCGAAAAATTAACTATTTTTATGTTAAATTTACTACCAAACTTTAAGTTTTTATTTATCCGCGAGCCAGGCTTGTCGGCATGGTATCCAATATCGGGATCTCGAAATACCGAAATAAGTAGATTCACACAGATAAGTGTGCTACAGTTGTAGATGCGGGTCTCGCAAATATCGGGATCCCCCGCGGATCCGGATTGAAAATTATAAATGCTGCAAATACCCACCGAGATTGAATAAACATGCGGGATTGGATGCCCTACTTGTAGGTCTCTAAGTAAAACCGAGATTTTGTAATGAAATGCACACGAGCAAACTTAATTGACGACCCATCAAACCATCCACCACCAACAAACCATCTAGTCGCGAGTAAACTTTACTCGCAACTAGATGGTTACTTCGATCAACCAAGTAAGTAATATATAATGATATCGCTCACAATTTATGATGTAAGAAAGCTGTTTAAAATCTTAGATAATTATTATCTTAACGGACTACCAATAAAAAAAACCGAGACAGCAGGTACTTCATGTTTGATGCAAATGAGATCAATAAAATTTATTTTAGATAGATATTGAATATTTCCATAATCTATAAATTTCAATATTGCGCTTCAGAAACACTTCCTTTAACTCTAAGGTATTCAACCCATATCTTTCAGTAATTCAGTCAATGAAAATATGTAGGTAGATAGTGAAATGAATTTTGACAAACTTGTGGGTAACATTGAATTCTACCTACCCACAACATACTCAAGTCTAAATCTATACTTTTGAACAGGTAGTATTTGATGCGCATGACCACCAGTCTAGCTCAGTGGCTAATTAAGTGATTTTGAGCAACATAAATAACTGTGCAAACTATTAATCTACATCGAATATTTCTGGAAGTTTCACCATAGAAGATAATACTCATGTGTATCAAATTTTATAAAAAAATATTAGTATGAATTACTTAGTCTGCCTGATAGTAGTACTTAATGTTATTTTATTGACAACCAACCTTAATATACATTTTGTACGGTGGGATGTTATTATAACTTTATCTTAATATTATGAAAGATACAAAGAATTCACACAAGTAATTAAAATAAATCTCACACACTGTCATCTGAAACCATCTTCAAATTGCGCAATAATTTACTTAATTATCAGTACTATTTACATTTTATTTGTAACACAATCATAAATTTAAATCAAATAATTTAAAACTCATCCATACAATAGTATTCTAAATTAGGAGCCTTCAGATATAGTGCCGTAGTGGCTGAAGCCTTTGTCCTATTGGTCATATCATATCGGACATAAAATTCAGGATTGGGTGCCTCCCAACTCGTGTTATCGCCACCACTGTCTTCGTACATTATTTAAACTCAAGAGAACTCAAGTGGCATAACGAAGCAGGTCGAAAATAAAATGAACAAAAAAAAACAATATTTAAATAAACGCAGTTCAACAGAAACTCAATACTTATCATCAACTTAAAAAATACTATATATTTTTTTCCATGCTGCCTGCAGAAGTTGAAAAGGAATGAATTCTGATACTTATTTACTATTGTTATGTGACATTATTTTGTACTAACTCTTGCTAAACTACCATGTTCAATCATCATCTAATTCTATAACAATTGGTTCTACATTTTCAGTAGCTTTCATATACTCTTCTTTTAATTGTGATAACAGAGTACATTTAGGAATCTTAAGTTCATCTGCTTCATCTATCAAAACTTTCAATTTTTGTAGTCTACCAATATCAGGTGCTGTGGGAAGGAGTATATTTTTTGTTTGTGTCATCCATTTGTCAAAACTATTTACTCTGAAGTCAATAGTCTGTAACATTATATGCAATTCATCCATATCATAACGATAATTCAGAGTTTTCTTACTGATTGGGCACTGACAAAACTCATTTACATGTTGTAAGCAAACCATATGTTTACAGTCTGTACAAGCTACAGATGACAAAAAACATGTTGTTTTGCACACTTCACAGAGACGTTCATCATCTCCTAATAGTTCAAATGCAGTTCTACAGACATTCTTCAATCCTTTTTTTGCTATTTCAGCTCTCAAACGACCCTCCTCTTCAGTTGCATGAACTAGTTCCTTTTGTGTTTCTAAAGCTGTTTCTAGGTCAAGTCGGTCGCCTTCTAATGCCATTTTACAAATCAGCTCATCATGAGAGAAAACACAGAAGCGTTTCAAATTTTTGTAATGTGTTATACACTCACGACCAATATGAAGCCAATCAGGAGGAGCAAAATTAACTGCTTCTGCAAAGTTATATCCTTGATTAAAACCAGCATGATATGCCCGAGGAAATGTAACTACAAATTCTCCAGCATTTTGATCGGTTCTATAAATTGGCACTCCTGCTGCCATAAGGATATTTGGGTTCATGATTGTTACTAACTGGTGCAGTAAATCTGGCTGTGATTTGAATAAATCAGGAGCTGCAGCTTTCATAGCATTTTCAAGTAATTCAGCACCATTTCCTGGGACTCCATACCAAGTTTTAGCCTCACCCCAATGCAAGTAATTTATAGAATAACTCCAGTGATCTTCATTATGCCAACAAAAAGCAGAAAAACACATTCCAACATACATCCAAGGAACGGTCATTCCAGAAATGTCAGCATTAATAAATCGGAGTACTGAACCTTCCAATACTGGCAAGTTGTTTAAGTTCCATCCAGAGTCAACATACTCTTGATCACCTGGATACAAGTTCAATGAAGATTTTGTGGGAAAACCTGACCCATGATCCATTGAATGAAGATCTGCACCATACTCTACTGTTACGTCTTCTTCTACTGACGATATTATCCTCCAGAACTCTTTCTCAGCAACATTGGTTGGAACCAAGTGCCCAGACATACCAAAGTAATCAGATTTAAATTTATCAGCCATTTCTCCAAACTGTTGAAGAGTATACTCTCTTTCAGCCTGAGCAAATCCGAATGCTTCAGCTGGTTTGTGAACTTCCTCAGCTATGCAACATGGACAACGCCAATCACCATCAGGTACAGACTGCAGAGGAGGTTTCAGACAGAAAGTATGATAAGTATCAGAACAACCATTACAAATTAAAAGTAGGTCATCTCTGTTATCTTTCTGGCAAATAGCGCACACATAAACAGCAAGAGGGTCTAAATCATATCTGGGCCTTTTTCTTGATTTTGTGATATCGAATTCTTCATCATTGAGTCCTGGCATTTTTGGTCCTGGTCCATAACAAGCTAGTCTCCTCAATTCTCTGTTTCGTCTTATTTCTTCACTGACAATCTTAATTTTATTACAATCCTCTTGTTTAATATCAGAACCTGTTTTGGCTTTCTTAATAAAACTATGGTGAGGTTTATCATAATCATCGGTTTCATTCTTTAAGTTTGTGATAGATTCAATGGCTATTTCTTTAAAATTGGGTTTTCCATCTTTATCTTTACTCTCAATTTTGACTTCAGTCTTTTTAACAGTTTTCAGTATATCAGCTTTACTTTTTTCAAATATCTCATAAGGGAGCAATATTTTCTCATAATTGCTTCTGAGAAAATTTAGTGTGGTTGTGCTTTGACTATAACCCATTGCGATAGCAATCTTACGCCATTTTTTCGGATTATTACAACTCTCGAAACCTCCCTCTTCATCCACCCAAAACTTAAGACAATATAAATCCAAGGTTTTATTTTCAATCATAGGTATTTTCAAAGGAGAACCTTGAAGATCCCAAAACTTTAATATCTTTTCTAAAAACAACAGTTTCAGACGCGTAATAGCTTCTAGTTCGTTTACTTTCTGTATTCGAGGGACAAATTTTAATTTGTCTACATCCAAAGAAAACGGAGGCTGCCATCGCGCGGGTGGCTTTATTTTACATATACCAGTCTTTTCTGCAACGGGACGTATTTTCGCAATGTAGCCCAATGGATCCGAAAACTCTTCGGGTGTAGGTTCGAATACAGGAGCCTCCGGTGGTGGTGTGAAAGTAAACTCAGCACTTTTCTGCATGGCATTTTTTTGGATATTTTTTGTATCCATTGTGAATTTGCGAAGCACGAATTATTTATAAAATACAAATGTCAATAATTTGTTAAGAATCAAGTACGCACAGTGCACATTTTATCAACTTCCGAGTCTACGTGACTTTACGCCATGTGTAAATGGCCCCTAAAATATTTGATTGTTGTTACTTTAGATCACATCAATTCATTAGATAAATTGTTATACCTATTCGTTTTTTAATATTTTTCATATTCAAACACTCTCACAAACACTAAATGACACTTTTTGCTAATATAAATATTTTCGCCAAGTTAAAGTTATTGATTATCCGGCAAGTCACAAACGAATCTTTATAATTAATATTTTACGAAATCGCTAAACAACTCATTCATTTCGATTCGTTTCGTTCATTCACAGAATGAAAAATTACCACACTCCAGGGATGCCAGATCAAAAATTCGATTGAGCGGTAAAACGATATAAAAAGCGCTAGATTTCAAGAAAAACGCGATTTAAAAAAGCGCTATATTATGCGCTAAATTATTTTCAAAACAGACAAAACGTCAAAATAAATATATTTAGCATATATAGGGCGAGCTTCATTATGGCCATTCATATATTTTTTGTCTTATAATATTTTTCATATGTCCCAATCCTAATCTGTCACAGAATGTATAACTACATGATTTCTTATATTATTTATTTTTTAAGCATTGAACTGCTAGATATCTAAATCTAAAGAAAATATTACTAGAAAAAAAACCACGCGGACCAGGCAGCAGACGGGACTCGAACCCCGCACCCATCGCTATCCGGGGGAAAGCACTGATCATTATGCTACCGCGACCCTGATTTCATATTATCTTCCAGCAAAATTTAAATATGAATGAATGAAAACAAAACCATTATCTAATAGTAACACTATTACAACTTATCCGTCGTGTTGTGTTGTGACGCATGAGAGATACCTATATTAGTTTCATACCTCTAATACTAATAGTACGGTTAGAGTGATAACGGTGTTGACACATCGCGACACGCAAGTATAGCTGTTCTAACCAAGGTTCTAACCGTACTAAATATATGAAACCTTTCTGACGTGTCACAACAAAATACGACAGATAAATGTAGTTCTGCCATAAAACAAAATAGAGGGGTTTTCCGAGACCATAAATTATCGGTAATACAGTGCTACAATGGTGTCGATTCTGACATGATTCTCTAAACCTCAACTTAAATTTGACAGCAGTGTATCCTAGTCATTCTCTATACAGAATGAAAAGGAGAGACTGATGTTAAATTTAGTTTTAAGTTTAGAGTATCATGCCAGAATCGGCACCAATGACAGATTATCCGATAGGCGCTAAAATTTTGAAATAGGCGCGCTAAAATGGCAGCACTGCCACACTCCAATCCAATCACTCCATACAGAAAGTTCGTTTTAGACCGGTTACCCACATTCCTGCCACTGGGGCAATCTAGGGTCTAATGAGGATCCGTAATGATTTTAGTTGAGAATGCAGATTTATAGAGTTATGGGTTCCATAAAATACAGTGTTTAAATTTTTGTTCTTCGACAAATATTGGCGAAGTTCTGATCAAATTAATAAACGCATTTTCGACTGGCCTGCTCGGTGGTTGTGAGGTCACAGAGCTCTAGCGCTTGGCTTGCGCTAGGTTTTGTTTGTGTATTGATTAAGTTGAACGTGCTTTTCTCAGAAACTACTGGTCCAATTTGAAAAATTATTTTTGTGTTGTTTTGTCCATTTATGAAGGGAGACTTATGGCTATAAACATGACTTACGTTAGGTACTGTCTATTTTTACATCTTATATCAATGGCTGTGAATGGGCGCCATAAGAATAAGGATTACTCTTTGTGATTGCGATGTGTGATCAACGGTGAATTGAATTGTCGTAATAATAATAACATTATAAAGTTGAAATATTTTAATTATAATTGGGCTTACATTTCCACCCTTCCTATTTCATTTTCAATTAAAACAACAAATGAAACAACTTGTTAGAGTTTGTCAAGAAAATTATTAAAAAAAGGAGGTCACCACCATCGCTTACATAGTAAAATTGCCTCCGTAACTATGAAGTGTGTACTCAAGCAGGAGCAATATTCTACATTGGAATTGCCCCTAGTTGCCCACACAGATTATAATTAAGGAATATAGTAATTATTTATGGTTTTTGATCCGTAACGACCGTGGTAGCTCTTCTCATGGAGGGGTAGCAATTTATCTCCGCGCACATCTTTCTTTCACTGTATTAAGTCAGTCATCACAACCTCCTCCGCAAAATACTGCTGAATATCTCTTCATTGAGGTCAACTTAGTTCACAATAAGGTTCTACTAGGTGTTTTATACAGCCCATCTTCTAAAATTGATTATTTCCATTCATTCGAACTTCTTCTTGAAGATTTTTCTCATAATTATACTCATTCAATTATAATGGGCGACTTTAACACCTGTCTGATAAAAGATGATTTCCGATGCAAAGAGTTACGTTCAGTAATTAATTCTTGTAATATGCATATTCTTCCTCTCTCTGCGACGCATAAATTTCCAAACTGCACCCCTTCTCTGCTAGACCTTATAATGGTATCATCTCCCGACCATGTTGTGAAACATGGTCCATTACCTGCTTATCATTTTTCTTATCATGATTTAATTTATTTGTCGTATCGAATCCGTCCCCCTAAACATAAGGCGTCAATCCAACTATTGCGTAATTTCAGTGCAATGGATATCGATATTTTGCGAGAAGATGCTCGTAAAGTTAATTGGTCGGCAATAGATGATCTCAACAGCATTGACGAACAAATAGAGCTATTCAATTCCTTACTCATAGGTTTAATGGATAGTCACGCTCCCGTGCGACCTGTACGCGTCAAGCATGTTCCTGCTCCTTGGCTTACGGAGGATATATGCAAAATAATTGAAAAAAAGACTCGCGCAAAAACAAAATTCAAAAAGAATCCAACGGATGCCAATCGTGCCAGATATAGGGAAATAAGGAATCGCTGCAATACATTGATCAGGAATAAACAAAGGCGCCACATTCATACGTCTGTCGAAAATGGTGACTCCGTCAAAGTTTGGCGCTTTCTCAATAAGCTTGGTATTGGCAAATCTAAACGCAACTCTACCTCTCCTTCAAAAAGTGATATCAATGCTTTAAATGCTCACTTTTCCTTATCTGCGTCCATGGATGGAATAATCAAAAGTCATACTTTGAATACGCTTTCTTCGTCGCCAACACCATCTTTTACTCCTTTTTTCATTAAACAATTTACTGAGTGTGACATTGAGAAGAATATTATTGCTGTTTCGTCCAATGCCGTGGGTAGCAACTGCATTAGTCGTAATATGATCATTCCTCTTCTAGATATCCTCACTCCTGTAATTACGAAAATCCTTAATAAATCCATATCGTCATCTGTTTATCCTTCGGTTTGGAAAGAAGCTAATATTATTCCTTTACCTAAGAAATCCAAACCTGTTTCCTTCTGTGATTATCGTCCTATTTCAATATTGCCTTTCCTTTCTAAAGTCCTCGAAAAATTAGTCCATCAACAGTTAAGTAGATTTCTTTCCATGAATAATCTTCTAAATCCATTTCAATCCGGGTTCCATCCCGGTCATAGCACGACTACTGCGCTTGTCAAGATCGCTGATGATATACGTGTGGGTATGGAAAATCGGCAGCTCACTGTATTAACGCTGTTAGATTTTAGTAACGCATTTAATGTGGTTGATTTTGATATCTTATTGGCAATGTTGGTTTCTCTCAATGTATCTCCACCAGTGATTGATTGGTTTCATAGTTACCTGCATGGGCGGCGGCAGCGCATATGCGTGGATGGATAATTTTCATCGTGGTGCGATACAACAGCCGGCGTTCCGCAGGGTGGCGTTTTGTCTCCTCTTCTCTTCTCTATATTCATAAATTCAATAACTGTTCCTCTCTCTTCTTCCTATCATATGTATGCAGACGATCTCCAAATATACACTCAATCTACGATAGATGGACTACCTACAGCCATCGCAGTTACCAACAACGATCTGGAGCATATATCTGACTGGAGTCGGCGACACGGTCTGTTGGTTAATCCGCGCAAAACTCAGGCTATAATTATTGGAAGCTATTGGTATAATGCCAGAATCAACAAAAGCGCTCTGCCACCGATCTTGCTAAACGGTATCCACATACCACTACAGGACAGGGTAAAAAATCTTGGTGTCCTGTTTGACAATAACTTGTCTTGGAGCCATCATGTTGGTGAAATTAGTAGGAGAGTATTTGGCGCGTATGGCTCGCTGAAACGCCTGAAAAACCTGTTGCCGACCAAGACTAAAATTTCTCTTGCACAGTCCCTTCTTCTCCCGTTGCTTGACTACGCCGATGCGTGTTACTCTGATCTTAGTGTTATTCTTCTTAATAAACTCGAGCGTCTGCAGAATTTATGTATCCGATTCATCTTCGGTCTGCGTAAGTACGACCATATCTCACATTATCGTTCCCAACTTCAATGGCTACCCATTTCTCGTAGAAGAGACTGCCACATCCTATCACTCCTTTATTCTATCCTTTTTCATCCACACACTCCTCTCTATCTTAAGGAGCGTTTCACTTTTCATTCTTTTAATCCTGTCCGCGATCTTCGGTCTTCTCATAACCTATCCTTAGCTATCCCACCCCACTCCACTGATTTCGTAGCCAAATCATTCTATGTAAGAGCTGTAAAATTGTGGAACTCTTTACCTCTGGACATCAAACGTGCACAGACGAGGGACTCCTTTACCATTAAAATTAAGGAATATTTCCTCAAGCTGGACTCTGCCTGATCTTTTTCTTTTTATCTGTTAGTTACTTTGTATTATATTTTATAGCTTCCTTATATATTTACTATTTTTATATTCTTATATTTACGTCTATTTTATTTTATTTTTAAAATGCACTAGCCCGCAGTTTCTTCTTTTTCATGGTATGATTTCATTTAGCCAAAGGTTGCCTGGTAGAGATTGCTACCTTAGCAATAAGGCCGCCTTTTGTGTTTGTGTTCCTTGAGTTTTATGTTGTATATATTTTGTTAAATAGTGCAATAAAGAATATTCATTCAAAGAATATTCATTCATGGTCACCCTAATCTTAGATTGCCCCTGCGGCAGGATGTGAGTGGCCGTGCATAATAAGTAGATCTTATCTGTGAACGGACATGATATTGACAGATTGACACTGACAACAGTTACCACCTCGGAAAGTGACCGAAACTATACATGGGTCGGATTAGGTAAAATCGATACCTATTCCACCTAAAACTAATATTTAAAAATACGTAATCCAAATACCTATTTCGAATATTTATGCAGTATCGCCGATCCCTAAT